AAATTCAATAAAAAAACACGAAAAATTAAAAAAAATAATTTTCTAAAACATGGATTCAAAATTCTAATAGGTTATTTGATTTGGATATACACTAATAAACAACAAAAATACTAAAAATCCTAAAAGTTCTATCAAAATTTCTACCAAATGTCTCACATGAGTGTGAGACCCATATGGTGTAAGTCTTACACCTATGTGAGATATTTGGTAAAAATTTTGATAGAATTTTTGGAGTCTCTAGCATTACTCTTATATGAGCTTAATCTTTAAACAAAGCTAACAATATATATATATATATATATTTTATCAACGAAAATGAGTAGTTAGTTGTTAGATTAGCAGTTTGGGGAATTGAAACTCACAGTCATACACCTTGTAAGAAAATCTTACCCTCTCATTACACTTACAAGAATGGAACCCAAAACTTCTCCTTAGAATAGACTTCGTAGCCAAAGAGCTAGCCAACTAGGCTAAAACCTCTTGGTTAAAGTTGACAACAATTGATGGATCTTGTTAGCAAAAATTTGGTTTGGGTCAAATTAACAGAAGAGACTCGACAGAGAAACCAGTTTTCACAAACAGTAACTCAATCAGGCAATGTGGTTGATGTCCTATGCCTTGACAGTTTCACGGACTTCTTTGGAGGTTGCAATGTGAGGAAACAAGTAAAAATAAACTGAAACTTGATTGAAGAATAAGTAAACTTGACACTTAATTACGAGAATTATATTACAAGTTCAAAAAGCACAACAATTGATAGATCTAAACTTGGTTACAAGGACTGAATTACAAACAGACTACTCCTAAGTGCAAAAACTACTCATAATTAAGTTATGTTACTCCTAATTTCACATGAGTTGTGAGTTTGGTTGAAGGTCTTCTATCCTTTGAATTCCCAACTTTTATATAGCCTCCAATTGCTAGGATGTATTGCCACGTGTCCATTTGCTAGGCTTCTATAACTGCCCGTGAACTACAACTGCTACAATTGCCTTTACACTTTCTCTTTTCCTACAATTGCTATATGTCACACCCACATTCATCTTTCTTAAGCCATTAACTTCACTTACTTCATTCTTGGTCCTCCTCTACACGTGCTCATGCCTCTGTTGACAGAGGATTCCAAGTTTTGGTGCTAACAGATCTACAACTAGAAGTCAAAGACCAGGTCAATTACCTATAATCCTTACAAAGGTTGCCATTTATGCGTTGTCTTTTTCACTCTCACTTTCTGCAAAAGTAGGTTTAGAAGAAGAATAAGAACAGTTCAAGGGAAGCCCATAAGTAAAATTCCAAAAGAACTAGTGTGCAATTTGAAAAACAAAGTAAATAAATAGAGCTTTTCAAGTGCATATGCAGAGTCAAGAACTAGAAAGAATTCTCATAGTGATCTGTTTAAATTCAGTAGCCAATCAATAGTAATATAGCCTAACCTTCACAAATAACCAAGCACACTAATTTGAGACAGAGAGAAGTTTTTCCTCCTCGGTATGTATAGGACGAAAGACTAGTATGTGTGAGACAGGAGACTGCATTTACCGAGACTAAAGTAAAACTTTGGATACACTTGTTACCCCCCTCCCCAAAAAATTAATAAATAAAAGATTTTGTGAATATTCTTGGAGGAGAGAGACACAACATATGTGAATATCACTGCATGTAGTATATAATTGAATGACATTCTTCTGAGCAGCCAACCAACTTCAAAGAAACTCTCTCTCGTCTTCTAAATGATTTCAAAGAAGCCTCCCCATCAGCTACTTTCATTCTTTTTAGTCTTTTGTTTGTTTCTTTATGAGTAGTGCTATTAGCACCCCAAGAATTAATTTGGACCCCCTATTTCTTTGGATCCCTATTTATAATTTTTGAAACCCTAAAAATTTCTTTAGACTCTCCAAATAATACCAAAATTATCCTTAAACATTCCACCCAATTGAATGAACACCCTCATACCCAAAAAAAAAAAAATTTATGCTCCAAAAAAACCCTAAACCTCATCCTTTTCAAACCCACGAACAAGAAGAAGAAGAAGTGTAACTCGGTGACTCTGGTATGCTCTCTCTCTCTCTCTCTCACACTCACACACACACATATACACACACAAACACAAACACACATACATCCGATTATGGCCAGAATGATAGATCTCCGATGTGTTTATCTGCCTCTCTCTCTCTCTCTCTCTCTCTCTCTCTCTCTCTTATGTCTACTATTGCTATTTTGTGGTTGGTACTTAGGAAGTTTTAAGAATTTTAACCATTCAAATTGTTAACAAATTTCCATGTTCGGACCTGCATTCTTGAACAAAATAAGCTATGTTCGGGAATGTGTTCCCGAACAAATTAGTAATGTTCAGGCCTGTATTTTTGAACTTGGAAAAATGAAAACTTTTGGGAGGTTCGAATAATAAATGTTCAGTTACCAGTTCTCGAACAAATAAACAATGTTCGAGCTTGTGTTCCCGAATTTTGATCACATGTTTGGAAGTTCAATCCCAAAAAAATGATAAACAAATTTTAATATTTCTTCCATTTTTTTTAGGAAACTTACCCTTACAAGGTCAATCTCCTCTGAGCTAATAACAACATTAATGTTATGAACCTCCTCTAAGCTTTTATTGTTGTACTTCTCTCGTTTTATAAAGTTGTAGTTGCTAGAAAAACTTCCACTCATTGTCATTACCGGAGAAGTTTAGGTAATCAAATGGTTGCCACCATTAACGCCGGAATATTGCCGCCAAAAGGTTTTCAAGGTTTTGAGGGTGGGCATGTTTTGAAAATGGGATTTGGGAAAGATGGATGTGTGATGATGGAGGTGGGTGCTCTCATAAACCCTAATTCATCATGTAGTGGGTGTGTAGGTTTAATTGTGAGTGTGATGTTCCAAAATTAATAATGTCCTTTATAGTAATTTTATTTGAGGTTATCATTGTAATAAAAAAAAAAACTAAAAATTAGAAGGTCGGAAATAATTCATAGGGTATTAATAACAACACTCTTGTTATTATATGCAAATAGCATAAAGAAACACCATTGAATTCATTTGGCCCGCACGTTTGGCTACAAGAAGCAACTCTTTTTCATGGTTTGAATTTTTTTTGTGCAGTCATCTCTTGTGGTTTATAGTAAGTTTTATTTTGATGATCGGTTTGATTAGTAGTCACATAATTTTATTAAAATAGTCTTTAAAAATATGGATGGAATGTTTTTAAAGTTATACTCGTCTTCCATTGCTTTACAAACAACTATAATTAAATAAAATTGCTATTATTAAAGGATTAATTTAATTGTTTTCTCTTAGGATCAGTTTGTTTAGAATGAAATAGGTAGAAAGTGAAAGAAAGAGAAAAATTTAACTTTTGTGAGTTTGTTTTAGCTTGAAAGTGATAGAAAGTATAAGAAAACTAATTTTCTTGTACAACCCATATTAGCATTGTAACTAATTTTTTATTTCTTGCAAAAAAACACAAGAAAAATTGAATGTGTGAGCAAGGCCGGCCCTAAGATTTGTGAGGCTTAAGGCGACCTATGAAAATGGAGCCCCTCTTATATATATATATATATATATGCATATTAATAAAAAAATTTATGCATAAAATGATAATTATCAACAAATTTTTTATTTAAGTTTATTTACACATATGATCATTAAAAAATTACTTTCGTATATTAAGATAGGAAGAAATCAATACAATGACTCAAAAACATTAAAAACTGGTTTTCTTACTTTATAGTTTAGTAATATCCAGTTTACAATTAAACCAATTATCACTTTAATACTACTCTTCTTGTATTTTTAGCTGCAAAATCACTAATTAAGTTTGTATAATCTAATTTATCTATCAAATCCTTTTCAATAGACAATATAGCTAATCCATTCAATCTTTCTTGTGACATTGTTGATCGAAGGTAGGATTTAATCAATTTCAACTTTGAAAAACTTCTTTCTCCAGAAGCAACGGTAACTAGAATAGTCAACAATATTATATACACAATCCAGTCATTTGAAAACGACCATCAATCAATTTCAAATAATTTATCACTTCAATTGGCCTATTGATTTCTTTTGGCAAAACTTTTAAAGACTTTCAACTCATAAAATAAATCTCTCCCATCAACATCCATAAGTCCATCATGTTTAAAAAAATCTTCAAGATTAGCACAATAGTCTTCAAGCACTCATCATTGGTAGAATTTAATTTCTTCAAATCAAACAAAAATCCAAAATTTTCTTCATATATTGGAAATTGTTCAAATCTTAGGGCAAAATTATTTATTTCACTAAAATCTGATAGATAAAAGAAGGTAAAAAAAAATTAGGCCAAATTTGTTATTCTACTAAAATCTGATAAAGAAAGAAGGTAGAAAAAAAAATTAAGGCAAATTTATTTAATGAAATTTGAGAGAGAGAGAGAGAGAGAGAGAGATTGACAACTCATTGTATGTGATGTATGTATTGTTCTTCTTCCTGCGACTTTTTTTTTTTTTTGGGGTGGATTCCTTCTCCTTGGGCCACCAACATTTTTTGTATATATTTTAATTTTAATTGGGTTAAACCACATTTATAAATAAATATGAGCCCATCAGAATGTTTTGAATCCCTTTAAATAGGCTCTAAAACAACAAAAATAATTTAGGGAGGCTCTATTTTGGGTCAATTTTTTTGGGGCCTAAGGCGTAGGCCTTAATAGCCTTAGGCTAGGGCCGGTACTTTGTGTGAGTTATCTATAACTAAACTAATAAATTTTTCTACCTTTTTCTTACAAAATTTTTATCTTAATTAAATGTCTGTAAGAAAATATATTTTATTTTCTATTTATTTTCTTTTACTTTCACTTTCTACCAATTTTTTTTTTTTAATTTTTTTTTCTTCTTCTTCTAATCAAACGGAGCCTTAATGATCTTTGCATAAAATCTAAAAATCAACAATTTAAATTATTAATTTAATATGAATGCCCATTATTCCACTCTACATATGTGCTTGATCACACGTTATTGTAATGTCCAATCACAATCAGATTACTGACCAACTAAATAGTCAAAAGTTCTGCATATACAATTGAGATTTATTCAATTATTAGTGTTAGATAGAACATAATTCTTTGACAACATCATATAAACTATGTAAGACTCCCATTAATTAATTTTCACACTCCAAATATGATAATAATTAACATAAAACAACAATATATATCACCAAATAAATTTTGAGAACAGAGAATTCTGTGCCACCTAACAGCAACAACATCGAGCATTGTCCTCAAAAGGTCCTGAAGTTGGATCGTAGTTTGGAGCATCCTCATCTTCCAATTCTGATTCTCTAAAACTGTAAAAAAGTGCCACCACAATGTACAAACCAAGATTCACAGCAGTCAACCAAGCCAGTGTCCAATAATACTTATCAAGCCGACTATGGTTCAATGTGTCCTGAAACCAACTCTGTTTTCCGCCTCTTTCACTCACCTTCCCCGCTACATACACTGATAGAACACTCCCCATATACCCCAACCCCGTCACACCGACACCAAAATGGACCGCATAAGTCCTCATTGATGGCCCAACCTGTCAAAAATTGAGGGCATAACAAATTATTTATTTAAATAATAAATTATAAAAAGAAAAAAGAAAAAAAAAAAGGAGAACTTATAGTGAACATGCAGGGAAGCTAAATCCATATAAAAACACGTAACACTTATTGACAGAGGCATGTAGTCACTCTGTGTTTGATGGATTTTTATTTTGAAATAAACTTGAAATTCTAACCAACCTGATCGAACAAGATGGCTTCAACACTGTTTTCAAGAATCCCATCAAGGGCACCGATGAGTACGAACTGTGGAAGCAACCAAAACACGCTCATCGGAATCCTCTCCTCAGGTTTGTCAACCAACCCATGAGTCCTCACCACATTTAGCCTTTTTGTTTCCACTTTAGCAGCAATAATGCAACATAGAATTGCAAAAACCATCGACACAGCAACACCAATGAGAGGAGCATAGTGTCGCGCCCCTGACCCGCCTAGCTTGACGGCAAGCTTGTAGTATAATTTGGCGAATTGTTGTTTGCCTTGGTCGTAGAACCAGAGAAGGATTACGATGGGGATTGAGAGTTTGCCGAGCTTGTGGGTCATATGGTTTGCTTGCTCGATGAAGTATGTGTTGCCAATGGCAGAGACAACGCCGCAGAAAATGAAAGTGGTGCATAAAGGGATCATTCGAATGGTGAGTTTGGTTTCTTCTACCTCTGTAACTCTGCAGAGTTTCCATCTGTTTTTCTGTTGTTCTTCTAGAGGCTTTGCTGGTAATATAATTGCAGCCTTGTCTAGACACCTGCATTTCAAAAATGGATTAATTTAAGTAAAATTAGTTCACTTTCAAACATATTGTCTAAATTGTTGACGGAACCATAATAATAAAATAATTTGGCCAAATTATATCGATTGTCTTTGGACTTTGGTCCTTGTATCATTTTGATATTTGTAATTTCAATTAGCTTGATTTGATTTTGAATTTATGATTGTGTTTTGGTTTGATTCAATTGATTACAATTTTAGTTTTTTTTTTTAAATTTTTTTAATAGAAAATCTGCATATAAGCGGCATGTGTCATGTTTTTATAGACAAAAATTATCAATTTGATCAAATTGATCCAAAATTTAAAATTAATGGTTAAAATTAAACTAATTTAAATGATATGGACCAAAATAATATAAGGGCAAATTGTAGAGATTATCGATGTAATTTACTCTAAAATAATCATATAATTTTTAAAATATGCATTTTATGTGACTTTTGCCTTCAAAATTTTTAATTTGTTAATTTGATCCTCAAACACTATGATATTATGAGAAAATATCATTTCTCCCCTCAAACTATCATTCAAAAATCAATTAGACCCCTGTTCTTTTTATTAATATTAATTTTATACTTAAACTATTTGATTTTAAATCAATTTTATCTCCACCATCAATTTCCGCCTATAGTCAAACATAAATTGCTGATGTGGCACCGAAATTTTATTTAAAATTTCATTTTATCCCCAAACTATTCTCAAAATATCAGTTAGACCCCTGAATAAAATAAAGTTTATGGGTTTAATTAATATTTTAGAGATAGTTTGGGATAAAATGAAATTTCAAATGAAATTTTAGTATTATGTAAGTAGTTCCGTTTGATTATAAAAGACAACTAACAGTTGAGGTAAAATTAATCTAAAATCAAATAGTTTAGGTATAAAATTGATATTATTAAAAAAAATATGAGCTGAATTGATTTTGAAGTGATAATTTTGGAGAGCAACATAATATTTCCTCCATTTTTATCATCAGTTTTACATATCAATGAAAAAATTATCCAATCATTCTAATTTTTTTCACAGATGATCTATGCCAAGAGACCCAATAGAATGAATAGCTTGAATCACCATAGTCAGACCGGTGGTGAACTTTATGTTCGAAATATCATGGTTGAATCTTCTAATTTGATCAAGTTCAGAGATACCTTAGGTGACGTGAGTGAGGCAACAAATCAACATCATCAACACCCCTTGTTTCATAGAGCCGATCGGCCTCCTTTGGGCACTTACAAAACATCTTGGAGGTTGCAGCCACAAGCACTCTAAACACAATGGTGAGCGAGCTACCCTGCGGCTTAACACAATTGTACGAACCCGAACCACTCAAGAATACCAGTGTAGCCACCATTGTGCAAATGGCCGGTATGCCAAACCGAATCGACCATAACCTTATATATGTAATCGCAATGACAGCACCTATAGGGACAAGGACTGTGATGTATGTGCCCACAAACGCGGTGATGAACGTGCGCGTAGTGAAGTTGTCGAGTACATCTTCTGAGAATTGCTCGGCTATGAAAGCGCCTAGTGAAATTAAGTGACCCGAGAGTCCCAGAGCTATTAGAGCTAGTGCTGTGTAGAAGAGTATTTTCTGTCCCTCGCCAATGCATTCGGGCTCGTATAGACTGCAAGTGCCTGTGGCCTTGGCGAGGACCGGAGGGGTTGACATTGTTAGGAATCCCAAACCCTTCACACAGAAGTTTGCGTCTGAGAAGACAAATCTTATAGAATTGCTAGCATAGCCCATGACAATCAATAAGGAGTAATTTAAGTGTTTGGTTGATATAACACGGTGATAATAAGTTTGGTTTCAAGGAGTCTTATATTCCCTATCTAAAAACAAAAAGTCTTATATTCAAGTCTTGTGATTTAAAATTTTAGTAACCATGATTTGGAAGAGATGTACTATCATGTGATTTGGAGAATAGGCTTACTCACAAATATATTTTAATGAATATGAGGTTACAAGTTCAAATCTCACAGACAATTTTTAGAGTGCACAGACTCATGTCCATTAATCCTAGGCCAGTGATTCATTGCCACTATGCCCTCGGTAGGGGTGGGCTCAGGCTATGATTTAGTTTGTCTCCAAGGACTTATGAAGCATGGGTGCGGATACAGATATTGGTACGGGAACGATAAAGTATGCCGATATGGTAAAACCTAAAAAAAATAATAAAATACGGGTACGATATTTGATACGTCAATAAATTTTTTATTTTTTATAATTTATAGTTTGAAGTTCAATTTAGAAATCAAAGTTCAATACCAAAACTAAAAAGAGAAATTACAAAACCAAAAAGAAAAAAATCATAATTCAACAATAACAATACTAAAGCAAAGTGTATAAACTATTTTAATGTTATTAAATAGGAAAAATTATAAAACAAAATTTCATTCCAAAAGTAAGCTAAGCAAAATTTAAAAACTTGAAATTTTAGTTTTCACTTCCATCAGCTTCAGCATTGAATAATATATCTTTCATCGCTGGCACATCAAGTAAATGATTTGCAATTTTAAGTAAATAAGAACTATCTAATAAACTAAATGCATCTCCATCAATGTCCTATAACTTGGTGTACACCTGATGTACCCATTAAGTACTTATGGAGTACCCAACTGTCAAAAAATGTATAAAAAGTATCCAGTATATATTTTGAGTACCTAGTACACATACAGTCCTATCGGTACAAGTATCAATACCCGGTAAACACTCGGTATGAATACGACAATATTTTCAGAGTATCCATACTTCATAGCCAAGGACGGTCTGTGGATAGCCTGCGAAGTTTGCAAACCCCTCATTTATAGGACCATTTAGGCCCCTCTTGTTCAGCTCACCAGTGATGGAGCTCCTGTATACGGTCACACTTAAGAAGAATTGTCATGCGTTGATCGCCTCTACTCTATTTTGATTAGACTTTGAAAAAAAGCACGACAGTTTGGGGAGTTGGGAAGAAGAGGAGAAACTCACTGCACTATAGGCAAAACTGGAGATGAGAAGCATCCAGTAGTTACCCAAGAAGGCATCAACGAGGAATTGCATAGGCAAGAGCATAATTGCCGTCAATCCGCAAAACACATTGATAATTGCAGCAGCATGAGTGAAGTTGAGCTTCCAAACATTTGTTAAGTATAGCATCATCATCCACATGGCATACCCGGCTAGTAAGTCAGCCCACATCAGAACTATCATAGGATCGATGAAAGATAACAAGACAAACCAACATGTTAGCACTCCATATACAACATCAAAATGGATTAAATTACTAAGGAATTCGATAAATATATACTAATTACCGAAGATTCTCACAAATGACAGCATTTTCGCGTTTAATTATGTTCTTCCTCTCTCTTTCTGTGAAAGATGAACAATAACAGTTAGACGAACACACAAAAGAATTAGTGTCGAACGGGAATGATAAATTAGCTTTAATGCTATAAATTGTTAGAAGTTTTCGTAAATTAGGTGACCTCAAGCATTGTCACATAGATTAAACACAAACAAACAAACAAACAAACAAAATATGGTACTCACAATCAAATTGAATTGGCAGAGTTTGAGGTAACATTATACATATATACATATATATAAATGAAAGAGACAATGAAGATGGAATTTCCCAAGGAGAGAGTGGGAGCCGCGTTGCCAACTGTTTTCCTTGTTTGACATTAACACTGCCAACTTAATTTCTCTCTCTCTCTCTCTCTTTGGGTTTTGAAATTTGAGGATTTCCTATAGTTCATAATCTAGATTGTAGGTTCTGTTTGGGCGTATTGGATTCATCATGAGTTTTATTTTAATAATTTATATTGTTTATTTTGTTAAACATTTCGTATATTTCATCTATATAAAAAATTAAGTTAATTTGATAATTACAACTTATTTAATTTGTTACGTTTATCATTAAAAAAAATAATGATTGTATTTTTAAAAATAAATAATTCATATTTAAAATGAGAATTTTCATAAAATTCACCTAAGGTACAAAGAATTAAATAAAGAAATACTATGGACTTGGCATACAAAGTCAAGATTAAAATGAAAGCCGAACTAGTGCATGTGCTATATGGAAAATAAATATATAAAAAATATGACTTTTTATTTGTTTATATATATAGCAGACGAGAATCATGGTGTGGGCTTCCTAGTGGTTCCAATTTTACATTTGGCCTAATTGACTATGTATTATTTATGTTTTAAGAATACAAAATAGTTGCCAATTAACTTCTCATAGAGATGAAGTCAATGACTACGTATTATTTATGTTTTGCGTTATTTTGCCCTATTAAATTTTAATTTTGTGAATTTTATTTGAATTTTTTAAATTTTGAATCAAATTGGTCTCATTTCAAAAGCTCTATGTGACTATGGTTCTTAAAATTTTAATTGTATCAATTTTGTATCAAAATATTGTGAAATTATGTTTGAATAGTTGGAATTTATAGGTAAAATGACAATTGGGTATGAAAAATAATACTTCATATATAATTTTTATACAAAATTTATCAACAAAATAATGTAAGAGTGACATTTCTGTAATTAAATATTATTTAGGATAATATACTTTAAAATAATAAATATCAATGTAACTACATCATTCCATATTTAAATTTCCCATATTTTTTTCTATTTATTTATCACTAATACTAATCGAGTATTGACAAAGCTGGGAAATTAGCCGATGTAGCCTTCTAACCTCAAATTTTTTAACATTTTACTTTAACAAACATAAATATTTTGCTTTAAACTTATTTTTGAAATTAATATTATTCTAAATTTACGTAGCCATTATTTTTGTTGCAATCAATTTAATTCAAGGTACTTATATGTTATATTACAATTAATTAATCTTCTATTGATGATCAAAATTTTCTTGAATAGAATTGCCTAAAATCATAAAATTAAATCGATTTCTATGATTTGGTGACAAAACTTCAACTGTTAAGTTCTCTTTTTTGGAATTGAATAGAACAGTTCGGGTCAATAATCTACTTTAAATTTGATCCCAATCTGTGAACATGATTTAGGGTCATCTGGGAAGTCCATAATATATTTTGGCATTTTTATTAGCCGGTCCCAATAATTGAATCTATTACCTATTAGGTCCTACGTTTCTATCTCATACACCAGCAAGTCTTGTTATATATTTTTATCTCGATTTTGCCCTTGTTATACTTTTCGCGTTTGGTTTGAATTTTGTGGTTCTATTTGTTTTTTGTGAGCTTTTGAGAGGAGGAAATTGAATATGGAATTGATTCGTGAGTGAATGGAACTGATTTACTTAGAGATTTTTGGTGAGTGGAATCTGTTTGCAATTTAGAGTTGAGTTACAATCGATTTGAAGTTGATTGCAATTGATGATCATGGAGTTTTGCTGCAACTGTAATTGATTTTTGCAATTAGGTTTGTGATTTTGTTAGGTTTTTGGTTCGTTTGATTAATATATATATATATATATATGCAATTTTATGATTCTGCGATTCTTTGACTTTGTTGATTTGTCGATTTCGAAAACTATTTGGCTATGTATGCAGAGTTATATACTTTTTGTTTGAGTTTGTGATTTTTATTTGAATTTTGATATTATTGTTATGATGCTGTTGTTTATGATATTAAATATTTATTTTGATGATAATGTTGAAAGGTTTGAGATATGTGTATGTGATGACTATTGAATTGTTTTGTTGCAAAATTGTTTTGGTTAAACACAGTTGCTGGTTTATTATTTTCTATTGTGATAAAATTTATTAGTGAGTATAGAAATAGGTGATGAAAAAGTTGCATAGTGGTTTAATTGTGTAGGTAATTTTTGTTATTTTTTGTAACGCTCCAAAAATTTATAACACCGTATAAATACGTCAACCAATGCTCATAAAATAATACTCCAACCTTTTCTTTACTTGAACATTAAGGTTTGTACAAAAATGATTCCATATGCGAATTATACATTCAATGATCTCAAGTATATAAACCTATAGCATGCAGAACATTAAGTCCAAAAATAAAAAAATGCCCTCAAGGGCTTACAAGTTCTAAGACTTAAGCCCAGTTACACAAAAATGGCCTCTCAGACCCATACAATTACAGCCCTTGGCTAGCAAAAATACATCACAATAAAAGAGGAGCCATATGCTCTCAACAATTATGCCCACGCCCTAATTCGGCGGAATTGCCACATCATTTCTTACACCAAAATCCCTTAGGGGTGAGTATAAAGCCCAGTAAATAATTCTTAACAGAGTATATATATTTTATACAAGCTTCACAAACTAAAATGCACATGCCATGCTGTACTATGCTTTTTGAAGGAAAATCACAGTTATATCTTTTGAAAACCATCATACTCAATGATAACTCGAAATCTCAACAATTCAAAAATCATCAATTTAGTTCAAGAGTGGTAAATACGACTCAAGTAATCCCTAGGTTGGTGTATGCAAGTAAGCATAACTAGCACTACCAAATCCCACTTCACTAGTAGCTAACCGGAAGGCACGTGGTTCCTCCTCCGCACATGTTTTCGGTCTTTCACCCCGAACACTTAGGCCAACTTAATCAATTTCATCTACACCTCCTATCCGGACTTACCAACGTATTTACCCTAAAATATTTCAATAAATCTCATTTCCCAATATTTCTTTCTCAATGCAAAGTTTCAAATCCTAATTCAATACTTATAACAAGCAAGATATTGAAGTGTCAATGCATCATTTATCCATGCAATGCAATAATCAACCATGCAATGTAACATCCTACCATTTACAAAACTCCCACACAAATGCTCCACTTGTGATCAAAATTTCCACTTCCCTTTCCAATGCATTTCACATATATCACATATGAATTTTATATCTATCCAAGTGTAGTAACAATTCCACATCTCATGTGTTCTCAACAATTTGTCATTTCATGATTATATTTGAAAAATCTAGAAATCCCCTAGATGTTGATTTGTGATTATGTATCAATTTTAAGCAGAATATAACAATCCCAATCAAACAATCAAGACAAGGAGACACAACGATTTTACGTGGAAAAAAACACAATTGGACACCTCCAACTGTGATAAAAAAAACCACGGGCAACAGCCACAAAACAATCTACTAAGAAGATTTAAAGGAATTACACAGGTATACTCTCAATTACCTAGCGAATCCACGCCTAATTGAACTAACCTCTATGTGCCTCTTCCAACCCGTCTTCACCTCGGAATTGTCTTTATAATGAGCCACCCCGGAATCCACCAAAGCTTCAGGCTTGAATTATTCAGAATCCACCGAAGAACAACTCTCTCTTTTATATAGCAAACAAAACCTTTGATGTACTCTCTTTAAACCATGAGTTGAATACTCAATAAAACATCAAAGAAAACTAACAAAATATCCCCAGATATAAACCTTAAGAACCAAAAAGAAGATCTGGAGGAATTCTAAAATCTGACCCAACACGCGAATTTATAAAATCTGTCCCGCGATCTCCGCTCGAGCGCCCAACAGCCCGCTCGAGCGTCTTCAGCAAAATATGCGCGTGATATAACAGAGGTCCGCTCGAGCGCTAGAGAACCCGCTCGAGCGCGAAATCACACATCTCAGTACTTTTGTAGGCGACCAAAACTGCTGGAACCAGGGATTCTCCGCTCGAGCGGGGTAATGTCCGCTCGAGCGGACAGGCAACTTGGAATGCATTTTTGTATTTTGCTTCGGGGGCGCTGCCCCTCGACCCCGCCGTGGCGCTGCCTCGGACCCGCCAAGGGGTGCTGCCCCCTGGACCCCCGCGAGCTGATCGGGCAACTCGATCCCCGTCATAATTAGCGAAGTGGCAATCTTGAAAGCTTTATCATCACAAACTTCTCTGAAAGGCTTGATTCGGGTTGGATTCGCATCTAACAACTCATAGCCTCACTGAAATAAAAATGCGAATAAAATTACAACTCAAAGGAGTTTTGTCAAACGGGATTGCCAAGAAATAAAACCTAACAAAATTTATATGCACTTAAACAATAAATTCCAAAAAACAAAAAAATCCACTAATTCCCATATACCAAGAAAATTGTCATTTTGTATACAATAATATGAAATTTCCACTTAGTCGTTTATTTAGCACAAGAAAATCCATAGATTCTCAACATCTTCCAAAACCCCTAGTTTCTAGGTTTTTCATCAAAATTAGACATTTCCTTATCTCTTGGTTGAATCTCACCAAGAATATCTTTCTTAAATCAATGTGATTCAAATCCTCAAGAAAATCATTTAAAGAAAACAAGAGAAGAACCCATTTCCAAAACCACCAACATTTTTGAGCCAAAAACCAATTTTTCTCAATGCTACCAAAGGGAAATCTCGAAATTAACATAAACTTGCAAAAATATATATATAACTCCAAGAAAATCCCTTCCTCAATCTTGTTGGAAGAAAAGAGATGAAAGACCTAAATCCAACGGTGCCGAAACCCGATCTTCACCGCACACAACGAAGCCTTTTGACAGTTTTCCAACTTTAATCACGGAACAAGGGTCAAAATGTTTATGGATTTGAAGAAATCAAAGATCTAGTGAGATTTGATGTAGGAAATGCAGAGAGATGGAGGAGAAAAGGATTTTTAGAGAGAGAGAGATGTATAAAATGATATACACTCAGCCCAAGAAAACAAGAAAAAGCAGATGTTCGGACTCAGCGTCTCCTGCACGTACGGCATTCGT